TTTCTATGTTAATTTTGACTCTTTAATCCTTATCAATTGTGATTCTTCCTCTAATGTTGGCTTCACTTTGCCTTATTCATTATTATTTTAAATCAACCAATTTACCAGCAAAATAAATCAAACAACTAGAAAAAGTATCGATCTATAAAATTAAGGAATCTAACACATTTACTCACAAATAAAATTTAATTAATCAATTATTAAATATAATAAAATAACATTTTTTATGATTAATCAGTTAGCTCGAAAGGCATTCATGTGGACGGGGAGAAAATTCAAGTTGTTAGACAATGGCCTATGCCAAGAATTGTAAGGATGTTCGGAGCTTCCATGTGCTAGCCACTTTCTATCAGAGGTTCATTCGAAATTTCAGTACAATCATAGCACCTATCACTGAATGCATGAAAAATGGTAAGTTCTTATGGGTGAAGAGGCTTAACAGAGTTTTGCATTGATTAAAGAGAGATTGTGAAGCGCTCCAGTGTTGGATCTACCCATCTTTGAGAAGTTATTTAAAGTAGAGTGTGATGTGAGTGGTGTGGGTACTGGGGCTGTTCTCTCCCAGGAGAAACGACCAGTAACCTTTTTCAGTGAAAAGTTAAGTGAAGTCAGACAAAAGTGGAATACTTATGATTAGGAGTTCTATGTAGTTGTTCGAGCTCTAAAGAATTGGGAGCATTGCCTAGTGCAGCGTGAATTCATCTTATACACCGGTCATCAAGCACTAAAGTTCCCTAATAGCCAGAAACATCTAGACAGTGTGCACATTAGGTGGTCAACTTTTCTCCATAAAGTTTCCTTTCTCAATTCGACACAAGTCAAGGACTATTAACTGAGTTGCGGATGCATTAAGCCGACGTGCTAATCTATTAGTTACTTTGACCCAAGAGACTATTGGGTTTGAGTTCTAGAAGAATCTGTATGAAGGTGGTGATGACTTCAAGGGAAATTTGATGAATGGTAATGAGAAAAAGTCGATAATTGATTTCCATGTTAGTGGTGGATACTTATTCCGAGATAATTGTTACTTATTCCGAGATAATTGTTTATGTATTCCTAAGTCCTCACTTCGGGAGAAATTGGTTCGAGGCCTTTATGGTGGAGGGTTGAGTGGTCACTTGGGGAGAGACAAGACTATAGCTAACTTGGAAGAGCGATATTTCTGGCCTCAGCTAAAGAAGGATGTTGCGAATTTCATTCGAAAGTGTTATACTTGTCTAGTGTATAAAGGCCAGTCTCAAAACACTGGTTTTTATATGCCTTTACCAGTTCCATACAATATCTGGGAAGATTTTTCTATGGATTTTGAGTTGAGGCTACCTCATACACATTGAGGAGTAGATTCTATGTTTGTTGTTGTTGACAGGTTTTCAAAGATAGCCCACTTGATTCCATGTCAGAAGACCTCAGATGCCACACATAGCAAGACTATTCTTTTGAGAAGTAGAGCGTCTGCATGGTGTACCTCTATCTATCATGTCTAATCGGGTCGGGATGTGAAATTCCTTAGCCATTTTTTGGTGACTCTGTGGCGAATGTTTGACAAATCCTTGAATCATAGCACCACAGCTAATCCTCAAATAGATGGGCAAACAAAAGTGACAAATAGAACTTTGAGTAATTTGATCGGTGGGATCATGCCTTACCGTAAGTAGAGTTCGCTTACAATAATGCAAAAAGGCTACAGACAAATCACATTTTGCCTTAGTATATGTGATACCTCCAAGACATGCAGTGGATCTAGTTTGTTTACCTCAAGATCAAAATTTGAGTGTTGCAGTAAAGGCAATGGCTAAACAAGCTTAGGCTGTGCAAGCCAAGGTGAAACAAAGGCTAGAAGAAACTAATGCCAAGTATAAAAAAGCTACCGATAAGCATCGCTAGGTCAAATTATTCAAAGAAGGTGACTGTGTTCTGGTTTTCTTATGAAAAGAGAGGGTTTCAATTGGACTTTATCACAAGTTGAAGCAAAGGAAGTATGGCCCATACAAGGTTTTGAAGAAAGTCAACGATAATACATATATGGTTGACTTACTTGAGGATATGAAGATTTCCAGAACTTTTATTGTGGCCGACCTGTTTTGAGTACCATATCGAGCAGCCTCTGTATCTTGAGCTAAACTTGAGGTTGAGTTCTTTTCAAAAAAGAGTAATGTTAGATGGACTTAAAAATTAGACTTAAAAATTAGACTTGATAATCTCAACCATTGAATAGATAGTAGATCCTAATAAATGATGGGACCCACAGTGAAATCAATGATTGAGATTATCAAATCTAATTTTTAAGTCTACTTTTTAAGTCCATATAGCATTGTTCAGAAAGAAAAAGGGACTGCTGTAGAACAGGTAGCTGAGAACTTCCTAGAGCAGTTGGAACACCGAAGACCCTAGAGTTGAACCGTGCCAAACAATGCTGTGCTGAGTAGGGGTAATGCCGAGCAGTGCTAAGCACTATGAATATTTTATTTATTATTATTTTTGCCTTAATTTTAGGGCAAATTTTCGTTTTGATTAAGTTTCTTTGTAAATTAACTAGTAATGCAGCATGTGTGTTGCACCTGAATAGTTTCATACTTTCATTGCTCGTATTGTATTCCCAAAATTCTCTAGCTAAAAAAAAAAAAAGAAGATATAGTTAAAATTCTTTTTTTTAAAAAAAAATTTGTGATTGAGATTGATTTTTTAGTGATGTTTGAGAATTAATTTTTTTGAAATTTATTTTATTAGGATTCCATTTATAATCATTGAATAAAATAAAATTAATTGTCAATATATTAATCATAATGTAACCTTATTTAAATAAGAATTAGTTAGGTCAATTAGGATAATATTTAATATACTATTCTATAATATATATTATCAAGCATATTGAACTTCTAAAAAAAATAATTTACGTAAAAATACACTACATTATCTATTTTTAAATAAAATTTTAATACAACTTAGAAAACTTATTGTGATTGGAGAACTGATTTTAAAAAACTATATATACAATTATTTTTTATCCTAGAAATAAAATGATTAAACTTTTCGATGAAAAAGAAAATACATATTTGTAAGCATAATGTTATCTTTGCATATGAGATGAGTAATAATAGATTAATAGAATTTTTGTAGTTTTTTGAACACTTTATTGAAAATATAATGATACATATTTTTTTAAGGGTAATATAGTCAATCAAAATTTGTTATAGAAACTGATATTTATATATAGAGAATAGATAATTAAAAAAGATAATTTAAAAATTTAAATAAAAGGATATGACAATAATTTAAATATTTAATTGTGAAATAATATAGTGGTCTTTGCAATCCTTTATAAGGGTAAAATTGAGATTCAAAATTTCTTCAACTTAAGGTACTTTTATTAGTAGTATAGATAGATATTGTTATTCTATTTGGAATTGTATTCCTTATTACGAGTAGTTTCTGTATTCAATTAGAATTTGAATTCTACAAAGATTAGGATTTTAGTACTATAAATAAGTTGTAATCCGGTGCTCCAAATGCCTTTCAGTGTTGACATACTTTTTCTCTGTTTTGCTGCATCAGTTCTCTTCCAAAAATTGGGAAGAAATGTTTGTAACTAGTTCTATATTTGAACTAGATGAGCAGAAACATAATAACATTTTGTAATTAAGTGGTGAATGGAACTATGCATATTTATATAGAAATTTGTCTAAAATTTCTGTATAACAATGTATCATAAATCATTGACATGTCCATAATATGTTCGAAAGCACAAAAAGAAAGAAGCAACAATCAATCTGTCATTGGGGTGAAAAGTCTGAAAGAGTGACTTCATTAACAGAACATATTTAATCAACAGTTAGAGTTTGGGTCAATCGTAATACAACACGTACAACAAAAAAAGCCGGATGTGTTGGTCGAGGGAGCAATATGGTGTCGCTTACCAATGTAGCACCTACAATAGACATGGTTGGTCTATCTGCTGGATCTTCCTGGACACACAATAATCTGATATGGATGCATTTTAGCATTTCATCTGACACACAAGACTCTGCTAGTAATGGGTCCATCAACTCCAATCCTTGGCCTTCACACCATAATTCCCATGCCTGTGGTATTATAAAAGTACCAAGTTGAATTAGTATTGTAACCGTTGATACAACTCTAAAACTATCTCAAGCAATACAACTCTAAAACTAAAAACGTCTGATTCAATTGAGAATAGTCCTTCCATAGCATACTCCAAGGCCATGTATCCACTGTTTTGAATCAGACATGGCGAAAGAAGATTAAATTCACTAAAATCACTCCTACTCTCAAATCCACATTAATAGTATCTTTTTGCATTTACAAGAAACTATAATAACTTGAACAAGAGCATTTGTAGACTATCATGTGCTACCCTTTATTAGCTTAAAAAAGAGAGGAGATTTCTAAGATAGAGATCTCGGCAAGAAGCCAATTAGGCAATCACATAAGTGCAAAAATAATAACCAAAGGAAGAAAGCTTACAATGTCCAAACAACTCTATTTGTGTTGTCTTCAATTTGATTTCCACCAAAAATCCTTGTCATTCCAAAGTCTGAGATCTTTGGATTCATCGCATGATCCGGCAAAACATTGCTAGCTTTGAGGTCCTTGTGAATGATTCTTAGTCGAGAATCCTCGTGCAGATACAAAATTCCCCGAGCAATTCCTTTTATAATGTTAAGGCATTTTTTCCAATCTAGTATGAAACCCTTGGTTGAATCTGCAAGTAAAGAAAGACTATACAAACAAAGTACAGTGTTTGTCATAATTAGCAAGCATCTAAGGTTCAAGGATCAAACCAAAGAGGAAGACATCTAAGCTTTTGTTGGGCATGAATTCATAGATGAGTAGTAATTCATTTCCCTCTAAACACCAGCCTAATAGCCTCACAAGGTTTCTATGTTGTAATCTAGCAATTAAAGTAACTTCATTTTTGAACTCTTGAAGCCCTTGACCAGAAGTTCTTGAGAGTCTCTTAACTACAATTTCTTTCCCATCTGCTAGAGTCCCCTGCAGTAGTTTTCAAAGCAGAACAATTAGAAAGAAAAAACAGGGCTAAGAGTCTTATAGCTCAAAAACAATGAGAATAGCGGTTTTAGTGGATTCAACATGGTGCTGAAGGGGATATCGTACCAAAGTTGCAACTAAATCTGGTTTGGTTACAATTTTTTTCATGTCTTGTTACATTTAAACTAGTCAATTTTACAAAAAGAAAAGAGGACCGATATTAGAATTTTAGGATCGAGCTCAAACAATCATCCCTTTTTAGTTTGACCTCACCAGATTAAATCGTATTGCCAACTATATTTTGTAGTAACTACGGTATGGTACCAATAAAACTCTTGGTACCGTAGTCCAACCTTTAAAATTATAACCCAATCACTTAACCACCATATCAATTTATTTATTGTCAGTATCATAATTACCTTGTAAATTGAGCTAAATCCACCTTCCTCGAGCTTATTATCTTCAGAAAAATGTTGTGTAGCTGCCTTTATGACATCTAACCTTATGAAAGGAAATTCTTGGGATTTCTCTCCCTTTTCTCCAATCAAATCCTCATTTGAGAAGTCATTTGAAAGGTTTTCTCCCGCCAAGTGAACTAATTGAACCTCTTGGCTATGTTCTTGCTCCTCTGCAAGGCACATAGGGTTTAGTTGAAGAAGCAGTTGGAATAGAATTGTATTGAACTACAAGAAGATCATTCTATACCTTGCTCACTTCTTTTACTTCTCATCATATAGGAATAGTACATAAGGCATCCAAGTAGTGCTACCACAAACACTCCTCATACACTGGCTCCGATAATAATTGATGTAGGTTCTATTCTTTTCCTTCCTGCACAAAGTATCATGTATAGTGATATTAGTATTGTCTAATTCATGATAATTTGGACCAACGGTTTTCCCTAATTATAAAGACAACGATTCTAAGGGTAATGCCTTTTTTTGCAGCAAGGTGTAGCTTGGCCATTTTATTATTGGATTAGTTCCATGCCAATTTTTTTTAGTAATTTGCTTTTAGTAGTTTATTTTTAGACAACACAATCAAAGAGTTTGTACAAAATCATTTTTATATTGTTGCATAGTTCGGTTGAGATTTTTTTGGAAGAGCAAAAACTTTTTTGGTTTATCATTTGCATTTATTTGTATATTATGGAGTTATGAGCAACTAACTTATCAAAAAAGTATTAGAGACTGTGTTTAGACTTAAAATATAAAATTATAAGAATATTTGATGCGCTGATACTTGTTGAATTGGAAGATATTAAAGAAATGTCACATGACAGAATTTAGAGAACGGTGGAAGATAATTAATCACAACCTTATTTGAAAATGAGATCTGGGAGTTATAAGTTAGATAACCGTCGATGGAGACAGAACTGTCGAAGATAGTAACTATAAAAAACAGAGAATGAGGAAGCTAAAGGATACATCCAAACACCCCACAAGACCCATGATTTGAGCATTTTTAGGAGTAGTGTAAAGTTAGTTTTTAGGAAGTACGTTAGTCTTTCTGTAATTGAAATCTCTTCGACTTGATTAATAAATGAATTTTCTTTTATTAGTTCATTGTTTTACATGTTTGTCACTTTAAAATTCATCTAAGGAAATCTTGAAACAAAGCAATTGAACATATCACAAACAATCGTCTAAGAATTGTCTGTCGATTGAGTCCCCTTCATTGATAACAACAGGTTTTTATTTGGAGCAGCAGACAGTTATACAATTATTTGTTACATAACAAATGTATTGTGTTTGTTCAATATATACGAGTGGGGACATTTCGTATCTATTTTACTCGATAAAGAAATGAATATTCCTTTCAAGGTTAGGGAGCAAATAAAACACTGACTTATAACTAACCCAATGACCGTATAAAATTAGGCTCCTAATGGGATCTGCATCCTAGACTCTATTTCACTATCCTTAAAAGTAATTGGATTGCGTTAGGATTGGATCAGTGTCAAAATTACCCAATTATAATATTTTTTTGAATTTATTTACCAAATTACGTTTTTTTAAAAAGTTCGTTGGAGTTAACACCATCCTTTTCGTTGAAGTTAACACTATCCTTTTGCATCCGACTGAAATTGGAGTTGTTGACCGTGTTTTTTAAGAAATATCGTAATTTGAAAAATAAGTTCAAAAATTTTCGTAATTTCGTAACTTTATTTAAAAATTACTGCAAATTGGTAAATAATTCGCAAGTGATTTTAGATAACCATTTCAGAAAATAAGATTGATCAAACCATTCTACATATGCATTGTTTGTTTCTGACTCTCTGCTCTGGTCTAAAAAAAATTTAGCGCGGGGTTTTCGATGAACAGTCACATGTTATAGCTCTTGCTGATACCTAGATGAAATTTCGACTAAGTGTGAACTCAGGAGCCGAGGTCAGATCAGGAGGTCTAATAAGATACGCAGGGCTCAAGAGACCAGATCTAGATCTGCCCCCAAACAAGTCAATGGCAAAGATGATAAGGAAACAGTTGGATAATAGCGAACCTAGAGTCTAGGCACAAAACTTTCAACCAACTGAAATCCTCTTCCAAGATCAAGGGAGATTCTGCTAAGATCACGCCTAAGAATCCTTAGGGATAGAATTTGCATTATAAATGCCGTACAATGCCTCCAAAATGGGGCAAGAAACTCTAGAGGCAAAAAGAGCACATTGAAACTTCTTTTTCCCATTATCAAGAGAAAAGGAGCAAGAGTCTCCATTAAAGAGTAGATTAGTCGAGTTCTCGGACTGGTGAACCACTATATTTTTACTGTGCAAATCTCCTTAATCCAAAAGAGAAATTCCCTATTATGATTCCCCCAAATCTCAAAGCTGAGATCCAAGCTGCAGAGCTTGAACCATATCTTCTGCTCGTCCACATTAATTCACGCCATCAGCTCTTAACATCACCAAGGTCCACGCTTGATAATAGTCGCATGTAGCCTGCCGATAATAAGAAATGAAATACTTACTTTTTGTGCCATTGTTGGTGCTGTGATCAGGTGAAGGCGGTTGTGCTTCTACTCTCGTGTCCCCGCTTTCCTGTTGAACAAATTAGAATGACAGAAACAGCAAAAAGAGAGACAACTGTTGCAACCCGCTGGTGATAAATCCGGTAAACACTGCACCATACTATACAAACTTACCATACTGATGATTTTTGCTTCATCTCTTGCATAATTGCGGTTAGAAGTATTGGTGGCTGCTTGAACTCTTAGATCATCAAATATGTCTTATAAAGACTTTGCCTTCAAAGGTTCAAGTCCCCCTCCCCCTCCCCCTCCCCCTTTCCCAAAAAAAAAAAAAAAATACATGATTGAATTGATCTGGAGTAGTAGAGAAAATATCTCTATTGGAGTAGCGAATTAAACACTTATCATACCATATGATTGCCTCTTTTCTGATGGGGCATTCTTTACAATCCGGTCGCCTGCTGTGCCAATAAATTTCTGGCAGGCTTCGTGCTTAACGTCGCCTCTGCAGAGGAAAATACCATAAACTCTATCCGGGTATTCCCCTTTGGTTATGTTTGCGGAGATGGAATCACCACCACCATTGAGAAGTGACAGGCTGAGAACATCAGAATAGGAATAATAGGTAGCTCACATTTACTAGATTTTAAAGTTAATAGACAAGTAAATATCTGATCAATTTCATATACACAGTTCATGTTTGAGTCAATTTGATCTTAACAACTTAATTATATAGAATAAGATTTTAGCAAATTAAAATCTTCATTTTATCATCTGGGAATTCAATTTCATCATATTTTTAAGTATTTATATATAATTCGGAAGATCAAATATTAACATATCAACTATACCCTCGATTGATGGTCAAAAAAAAAAAAACTATACCCTCAATCTCACTTCACTTCTTTATTATTGAATTTATTTAACTCTTCAACTAATTGAATTGCTTTTACACATTGCGTCAAAAAAAAAAAAAAAAACTAACCGTTATCTTTTGAAAAGAACATGTGAAGGTATCGGATAAAGTGAAACAAAATTACATGATTAGGGTGTCCATTGGCTCTTGATCCTGACCCCGCTTCAATCCTGATCCTAGTATTTTTGAAAAATTATCTATTACAATTTCCTTCTAACCAAAATGACAATGTGAGTTGTTGGCCTTTTTGGAGACTCCTTATATAAAAAAATACCCTTTTGATCCTTTAAATTAGAGCAATGCTACATTAACTAAAAATTAAATAAAAAATAGAACTCAAATAACATGATTAGGCGTGTCAATTGGCCGGGCCAAGTTAGGCTCAAATAACAACTTTGACTAATCGCTAAGTCGAGGCTACAGCGAAGGGCTGTGCGTGTGTATTGGAGAAAGGCCAAAACTGGACTTTGTGAATTAAGCTACACGTTTCTGTTCATGCCGTACGTAACAATTCTTCCGTAGAAAACTTTATAGTATTTTTCAATTAATTACATGTGATTATTGTGAAGACATTAATGTTACATTTGTCAAAAAAATAGGCAAAAAATAGAGTTCAAATAATATGACAATTGACAAGACAACCAATATTAAATTTACAGGACTTTTGTACTTGTAATATGATGTTGGGTAATGTATGTTTAAAATATAAATATATCCTCCGAGAATGCACATTAGATGAAATACATTGGGCATCGCTTATCTTTATAACTTGCCAAGATCAAGCCATCCGGGCCTACACCAACCGGACAATTGGCATGCATCTTATGGTGCTTACTATTCCATGTTGACACCTTAAATCGGATGGATGACGTCACTTCCAGGCGAAAAATCATATGCCATGAATGCCGACAAGCATATGCTAGTCACCGTCAATGTTGCCCTACTCCATGCACCAAATAGCACTGTAGTATTTTTTGACTCTTAAAAAAATGGAAATAATAGTGAGGTACTTCCAATACTTTGATCCTCATAATACACGGTTAAGTTATGATCTAAGCATATAGGAATAATCTCAAGTCTCAATTGAATGTGTACAAGGTCATCGTCATCATCCTTTCTACAGCTCAACTCTTGACTTGGACAATTGAAAAGTTTACGAGTGATTACTTTTTGAAGAATTTTTGAGAAGAAAACAAATGATCCGTTGGGATAGGAGGGGTTAATCTATATCTATATTTATTGTTAGAGTATGTGTGGCTCATATTTTGCTATGTGCATAATGGCAAGGAGGCAGATGCTGGAGTGGGCGGAGCGTAGCGGAGTGGAGCCCGCGACGGCATCTGCCTTGCGGGATTTATATAAAGGGGACGCTGATAAGTTGGGGGTGCGGGGGCAACGCCCCCGCGGTACGGTACAGGGGTATTTTTATAAATACG